TGACTGATATTTAATATTGAAATAATTTATTTAATCATTATTTTAAATTTTATCCCTGTTATAAACATTCTTGTTTCTTGGGATTAATAAAGATTATTATTATACTAATATTATTGTATATCAAGCGGTCGTCGCTTTTTTCACAATAATACTAATAGTTTCGTTCGTTATTGTATGTACATGTTAATAATTCTTTTTTTTATTGTTTCTTTTTTCACAAGGATGCTGGTTACGGTGAGAAATTCCTATTCACCCCCGCGGAAGATGATGACGAAGAAATGCAATTAAAAATGGATGATGAAGTTAAAGTGGCCCCTTGGAACACTACTAGAGCATACATTCAGGCTATGAAGGGTAAATGTCTCCTTCAGTTGACCGGACCTGCTGATCCTACGGGTTGTGGAGAGGGTTTCAGCTATGTCAGAGTCCCCAATAAGCCGACTCAGAGTAAAGAAGAACAGGAATCCCAACCTAAAAGGACCGTAACTGGAACCGATGCAGATTTAAGAAGGCTGTCTTTGAACAACGCCAAAGCCTTGTTGAGGAAGTTCGGAGTTCCAGAAGAGGAGGTAAAGCTGTGCATTTTTTGTAATGTTTTTTCAACTTTTCATGTATCTACATACTATTTGGGAATTGCTATAAATGCTCTATTTTGATGATATTGAGTTTTCACGTGTTTTCTTAGAGACTGATAATATTTGTTCATTCAAATTGATATCAAATCAAATTGATGAAACATTCAAAAATAAATTAATTTTTCTGAGGGCAATTTTTGATGAAATTTCATTTTATTGTTCGATATAGTTGTTTTCGAGGGCGATACAACAATGGGGAATGTTCCTCAATTTGGGTTATTACAGCAAATGCAAGTTTGAACAAAATAAAGTTGAGTTCAATTCATGAATTTTTCAAATTCACTTCGAAAAGTATTCAAATTGATGTTTCAAATGTTGGGTTTTCATTTTTAAAGGGGTTTGTTTCTAATTCACATATTGGCAACAATGCCTAGAACTTTACCTGCCATTCCTAAAAATCGCCATCTGTGTATAACGAATTGAAATAATCATATCTTTTCTTCTCAGATTAAGAAACTGTCACGTTGGGAAGTTATAGACGTAGTAAGAACACTTTCTACAGAGAAAGCAAAAGCCGGAGAAGAGGGTATGGACAAGTTTTCCAGAGGTAACAGATTCTCTATAGCTGAACATCAAGAAAGATACAAAGAGGAATGTCAACGCATATTTGACTTGCAAAATCGAGTTCTGGCAAGTGCTGAAGTACTTAGTACTGATGAGGGAGAGAGTTCGGAGGATGAAAGTGATGAAGATATTGAGGAAATGGGCAAAAACATTGAAAATATGTTAGCTAACAAGAAAACAAGCACACAAGTAAGTAGAAAGTAATATCTAAATATTGTAGGCATTGATGACAATGTATTTCAGCTTTCACTAGAGCGAGAAGAACAAGAAAGACAAGAATTGAGGAAAATGTTAATTGAAGGCGATAAAGATAGACCTAAAGATAAGAAGAAAGGAGAAGAAGAAAATGATGACCAAAGTTACCCGCAAGGTCGAGTATTGAGGATAATTCGTACATTCAAAACTCCAGAAGGCAAAGACTACCATAGACAAGAATTCGTTCGAAAGCAAGCTGTGATAGACGCTTACGTTAAAATCCGTATGTCAAAAGATGAAGCCTTCATCCGACAATTTGCCACTTTAGATGAAGCTCAAAAAGAGGAAATGAAGAGAGAGAAACGTAGGATTCAAGAACAGTTGAGGAGGATTAAGAGGAATCAAGAAAAGGAAAAAATGGCTGGTGGCCATGTGCAGACTACACCAATTGTTAGTTTATCCTCTGCAAACTCTATGGAAAAACTGCCCAATCCTAATGAATGTATGACGAATAAATATCAGCTTAGTTTGAAATGATTTTGAATTTATTTATTTTAGATGTTTCTACTCCTGTTACACCTACGTCAAGTAAAAGTACGACTTCCTCACCACCCAAATCAAGAAGGAAAACTAAACTCAAACCTGATTTGAAATTGAAATGCGGGGCCTGTGGCAATGTTGGTCATATGAGAACAAATAAAGCCTGTCCATTATATCAAAACACGACAGGCATGAGTACTCCGATAAATGTCGCTATGACTGAAGAACAAGAGGAAGATATTGAAAAACAACTCAACACTGATGATGAAGATCTTGTTAATGTTGACGGTACTAAAGTGAAATTATCCGGAAAATTACTAAAAGTAAGAATACTAGTCTACTGTTTTCGTTTATATAATAATATAACATTTATTTGAAAAATAGGATACATTCCTAATATACAATAACAAAATTATAACTAACAAATAATTGATTAATATTCCAAAAATCGTGACTTATCATCTTATTAGTAATACCTTCAGTAACATTTGTTATAAATATGTAGATCAGTGTTAAACCTTTTTAAAGTTAAAGCTGATTTAATTGAATGAAGCAATTTCTTGTACGTATCAAAACCTTTGACATATACTGAGTTCATATTGATTTTGGTATTAGTTCTATGTATATGATGTATGTCAAGATTATGTCTAGTGTAATATTTGTGAATATCATAATTAAAACAAATAGATTTTCAAGATATGTTCCAGTTAAATCATTAACAATTTTATGCACAAATATCATTGTCTGGTATAAAAGTCTCTGGGATACCGAAAGCAAATTTAGGGTTAACATTGTAATTATGGGAGTATATCGGTTTCCTCTCAATATAATTCTCATTCCTCTATTTTGTAGTTTTTATAGTTGTGCCTGTTTGTTCAAATGGAAAGAGTATAAAATCGAAGCACACTAATCAAAGTGTGGTTGTATAATTGTTTCATATACTAATATATTTGTGTTTAAAGACAGATGCTTTGAAATTCCAGAATAAAAATATAGTTTTTCAAAATTTTCTTATGTATGTATTGAAAATGTTCTTCAAATGTGAGATTGCAGTCCAGCTGAAACCCCAAGTATTTTACAGTATTATTCACTTTTATATTTTCATCATTAATAGAAATATTTATCTGGTTCATATTGATTTTTTTATATTTATATTTTGAAATGAGGATCATGGCAGTAGTTTTACTCACATTCAATTTCAATTTATTAATTTTTATACAGTGTGGTCCAACGAAAACTTAACACCTCGAGTTTCCGGCGTTAACATGAAAATGTGGAAAATCGCTCGAACCCGTCAATTTCTGATTCGAGGGGGAACATTACAAGCTAATAGAGTATCGTCTGCAAACAAGTTGATAAATTCACAATCGATATGTATATTAATATCATTTAAATATATAATGAATAGTAAGGGGCCCAAAATACTTCCCTGGGGTACTCCTTTATCGTTTAATGTTTCATTTGAAATTGTACCATTGATTCTTAGTCTTTGTTTTCTGTCTTCAAGATAGTTATAAGACCATGCTTTGCCCTCAATTCCGTATATTTTCATTTTGCTGAGGATTATATTTCTGTCGATTGTTTCGAAAGCTCTTCAAGTCTAAAAATACCGCTACTACAAACTTGTTGTTATCTAATTTGTTAATCAGATAGTTAAGTGACCTCTGTAATGCCGATTCATAAGAGTACTTTTTTCGAAACCCTGACTGATTATCACACAGAATCTTGTTTACATTCACAAAGTTTAGCAATTGATTGTAAGCAGCATACTCAAGTACTTTTTCAATGGGCGGCAACGCATTAATAGGCCTAAATTCCTCAGCTCTGATAGTTTTATTTACCTTAGGAATTGTAATAATAGTACTAATTTTTAGCAGATCTGGGATCTTTCCCGTCTGAAGCGAAGTGTTGATAAGATTCAATATAGCATGTCCAGCAGTTTCAAAAATTTGTTTAACAATTTTGGCATTCAGGATTTCATATGTATTACATTTATTGTCTAATGAAGCACTAATAACACGTAATTCTCCTAATGAAACCATTTTGAATTTAGTTATAGGCAAGTAAAGGTTAGAATCGCGATTATACCAAACTTCATCACTTTGAATGCTCTCGACTATCTGGTTAATACCATTAACAAAATAATTGTTGAAATGTTCAACTAAGGATGTCTCTTCCTTGACAATGTACGAGTCTCCATTATAATCAAATTGTACCTGACTGAATGAGTTTTCATTTCTACTTTTTACAAGGACTTTTAATGTTTTCCAGATCATCTGAGAATTGTTTCTATATCTTTTTTCCTTTTTAACATGTTCACAACTTTTTTTCTGAGTATTTTAAAGCTATCCCATTTGAGTACTTTTTCAGTTGGTGAAGATTCAATAAATGATTTATAGGCTTTATCTCTTTCCTTGATTTTTACTATTTACTTCATGATCAAACTATGGTACACTATTTTTAAATTGACATATTGACATATAGTGCTATATTATTGATAACTGCAGAACAATTATCAATGATTTCTTGATAAATAAAATTTACATCTACTGAACTCAATGCCCATTCGCATGAAATCAAATTAGTTTTTATTTTATCAAGATGACCCTCACAAAAACTTCAATTTTTTTTTGTAATATTGTTTTGTTTCAATGGCTTTAATAGGAAGTTGACTGATATTACCATATGATCTGTGATATTGGGGGATAAGTGAACGTTGGTTATAATATCATTATGATTTAATATAACATTATCGTTGTTTTAAGAAAGCCACATATAACACTCATAAAAAACATAATCAATTAATGTTTCAGATTCTAATGTGATACGTGTTGGTTCGGTTACAAATTGCTTCAATACATATGTTGAGAATAAAGTCTTGAATTTATTTACATAGAATGCATTTTCTGAGAAATTCAAATTAAAATCTCCCTCTTGTATGTTTTTATTCCATTTAGAAATACAGGCCAAGAATATGTCGCATATTCAATAGAAGAATTAGAAACCGTCTTTAGTCATCAATTGACCGAGTGCGATCATTTTTGTATTTCTGTATTTGAAAAGAAGTATGACCATGTGGCAAGAACTACTAATGCACTACACCACAGTAATCAAAGAAAACTGCGAGCAAAACCTCAACATTTGATCACTTCTTCATCTAACATTTATAATAGAAACTTGATGTAAAAAAGTCAGTTTTATAAGTTTTTAAAAAAATACGTTAGATATTTTTTGTGGTTTCCAACTTTCACTGGTTTTTAATTTAGATCAGCATGCTGAAGAGATAAAACGTCGAAGTTTAATGCTAAAAGTCCCTAGAGACGCCCTGGGAAATAAAAAGAGACGGCGAGGAATGTCTGATCTACACTGTGACTATTTGAAGAGACATAACAGACCTGCGAATAGAAGACGAACTGATCCAGTTGTTGTTCTTTCTACTATACTTGAAAATATTCTGAATGAAATGCGAGATATGCCGGATGTACAACCGTTTTTGTTTCCTGTCAATCCAAAGGTAAGTGCTTTTCATTGATTGGTATAATCAATAAACTATTTTCATTTTCAGTTGGTTCTAGATTACTACAGGATTGTTCAAAGACCAATGGATCTTCAGACAATTCGGGAAAACTTGAGGCAGAAAAAATATCAAAATCGAGAAGAATTTCTAGCTGATGTGAATCAGATTGTCGAAAATTCTAGTTTATACAACGGTAAATAATGTTTTTCTGGCAGTTTTTACATAACTCAAAAAATAAATTTGCTATTATTTACTCCCAAGTGTTGCATTCATAAAATTAACTCTACCGATAGATAAATAGGCAGATAGATAGATAATCAGTTTGCGATATATAGTAAGCAGATGTTTTTTTTGAGTTAGTTTCTGAACATCGTGGAGTACGAGCTTCATAATATTAGATTACTTCCGTGAACGGATCAGAATAAGCTCATTGTACACTGAGTAAGTTTAGGAATGCAACCTAGCAAATATGGACAAGCAAAAACATTCAAAAATGTCTCATTTGGTTTTGTTTCAGGAGCCAAAAGTAGTCTCACTGTTGCTGCCCAAAGAATGCTTGAGAAGTGTGTCGAGAGATTGGGAGAGAAGGAAGATAGGCTAATGAGGTTAGAAAAAGCCATTAATCCGTTATTGGATGATAATGATCAAGTCGCTTTATCATTCATCCTCGAAAATGTTCTGAGCACAAAGTTGAAAACGATATCGGAATCCTGGCCTTTCCTGAAACCTGTCAACAAGAAACTTGTTAAGGATTATTACAGTATTGTCAAAAGACCCATGGATTTGGAAACCATCACCAAGAGAGTTGCTGGTAAGTGTATGATAAGTGAAATTTCTGACTCTGCTCTTGATTGAAATTAATTTTTAGCTCACAAATATCACACTCGGCATGAATTCCTGGTGGATATCGAACAAATCCTTGAGAACTGTGTTCTTTACAATGGAAAGGACTCTGCTTTCACGGAAAAAGCGGAACAGTTAGTAAAGATATGTAAAGCTACTTTGGATGAGGTGAGTTTATACAGCTGTATATTGTCAAACATGCTCAAAACGTAGGCATTATCCATTCTCAAATATTTTATTCTTCACAAATGTGAACACATAAAACATTTTTGAAAATCTCTAATTGAATGTAACCTACGAAATTTTAACATTCACTGCCAATAAAATTTCAACAGTCACCACACTTTTTATCTTAGAGATAGTTTGCCTTATTTATAAACAAAAATCGAAGTTCAACTTTGCTTCTACTCCTTATGCTACTCGCAATAGCAATTATACCTTTAGACTTCCCATCCCAACTTCAAATTTAATCAAGGATTCTATATACTATAATGGTGGTAAGTTGTTCAATCATTTACCACTAGAAATGAGATCTGCATATCTAAGTAACATTCATTTCTAAAACGCGGTGAAGAACCTACTTGTTGATAGACCCTATTATAGTTTGGAAGAGTATTTTAGCGAATCCTTTCAACAATATATTAGCAATTTATATCTACATTTATACTTTTTTAGTATGAATTGAAGGGGTTATATTTTTAGGGTATTGAACT